TTGACTCCTGGCGACTGCCTGGACTAGTCCCTGCAGTTTTCTTGGCAAGATTTTGGAAGTGATTTGCCATTACCTGCTTCCTAGGGCTGAGAGAGTATGACTGGCCCAAAGTCACCCAGCTGGCTTTGGGCCTAAGGCAGGACTAGAACTCACAGTTGGTTTCTAGCCTGGTGCCTTAACCACTACACCAACCTGGCTCTCAATGCTGGTTATTACCAAGTCAGAAAGCTACAGGAATTGATGGAATACCCACTGAAATATGGCAAACAACAGAAGAAAAATCAGTAAAGGTTCTAACCAAGTTATGCCAGCAAATAAGGAGAATGACAGTGGCCAACAGATTGGAAGAGGTCAGTCTACATACCAATACAAAGAAAAAAGACATGACAGAACATGCAAACTATCATTCATATCCTTTCTTTCACAGGCTAGCACAACAACACTTAGGATCATCCAACAAGGATTAGATCCCTACACAGAAAGGGAGATGCCAGACGTTCAACCTGGCTTTAGAAAAGGCCGAGGAACACCAGCCATTATTTCTGATGCAGGCTGGATAGTTGAGAAAGCCAAAGAATGCCAAGAAGAAGTCAGTGTGTGCTTCATTGATTCAGAAAGGCCTTTGATTGTGTTCATTACATCAAGTTGTGGAATGCACTTAGAAAAACTCCCGGCACTCCCATTCCTTCTGCAAGTTGGCAAAAGGTTTCCAAAGGACTGCAAGAATGGGACGCCGACTTGCAGCAGCTATGGGACGTGCAGCTTCGGGAAGGAACAGGATGCCAGCTTTAGGGAAGGAATGGGAGGCATGGCTTGGGGAACGGTGCGAGGAGGCGAAGACCAGTGGTCTGGGGCTTGAGGCAGCATTTCTCAGTGGCAGTGGCAGTCCTGGGGCTGAAGTCAATGCCGGGGGGGGTGGCAGCTGGCTGAGACTGCTGAAGGCCTCAGGCCTCTACTTCAGTCCCAGCTGCTGTGCAGGGAGGCCAAAAGGACATAGATGGTGGGGGAGATAAGCAGGTGGGGGAGTTGCAGAGCCTCTATATGGGCAGGCTGCCAAATGCCTGAATTTTGATCACATGACCGTGGGGGCACTCCAACGGCTGCATCTTTGGGCACAGGTTGTAAGTCCATTTTTTCAGTGCTGTCGTAATTTTGAGTGGTCACTGAACGAATGGCCGTAAAGCGAGGACTACCTGTACAGCTTCTGCCATTTAAGATCAGCCATCAACAGTAAAGAAACAAGCAGTCAAGAAGTACACTGCAGACTAGTATTTGCTAGAGCAGCCATGAAGGACTTGGAAAAGATATTCAGAATACCGTGGACAGCCAAGAAAACAAACCAATGGATCATCGAACTGATCAACCCAGAGTTCTCCCTCGAGGCACAAATGACCAGCCTCAGATTGTCCTATTCGGACACATTATGCAAAGATCCAGCTCTCTGAAAAAGGCCCTAATGCTGGGAAAGGTGGAAGAAAATAGAAGAAGAGGACAACCAATAGTAAAGTCGCCCAGAGTCACCCATTGGGGGAGATGGGCGGCATACAAATTTGAAAAATAAATAAATAAATAAAAATAAATAAATAAAGTGGATGGATTTAGTGGTAATGAAGACCAGGTTAGGGACAGATCATCATGGAGAAAATCTATCTATGTGGTCACTAGGAGCTGACACTGACTTGAGAGCACATAATCAATCAATCAATCAATCAATCAATCAATCA